GGAAGGAAGGAAGGAAGGAAGGAAGGAAGGAAGGAAGGAAGGAAGGAAGGAAGGAAGGAATAAATGTATGGGAAGCTCCATACCCATCCATAATCATGGCCACAGCCCCCATCCTGGAACTACCCGAATGCCAGAATATTGTTTCCTGAGAGATCTCAGAACCTGTGCAGTGGCTTTCCCAAAGGCATTCTTGCTTCTGCAGCTCAAGTAGTCTGAGGTCAGAGATACCTGCCCTAAGAAAAGGGCGACTCTTTCCTCTAGCATCCAAAAAGCCCAGGATGACCGTCAGTACCTGCCCTGTTGACAGCGGTCTTGCTAGGCCTGGGAGAACAGAGAGGGAAGGGGAAGCAGAGATGCTATTTCACGTCCTGCTTGGTCTTCAACCTCCACAAAGCAGTGGAGCCACCCACAGAATGCTGGCTCTATCTCCAGGCACTTCCGTCCTCCTCTTTCACATCTTGAGATCCCAGAATAATTCACTGCAATGTTCTTTGTCAAGTCTGTGCCACCCCATATTCACCTCCTCATCTTTATGGAAGGAGAAAAAGGAACAAATGGTCCCTTGGGCGTTGTAACCAAGCAAGCAGATGCTTCCAAAGGAAGGTAAGTGGCAGATGCGTAACCGCCTGATGGAAGAAAACACATTATCTAACCAAGCTTCACTCTGATGTAGCAAGTCCCACATTTTAGATAAGAAAGAAACAAAAGGGTGGAAATAATTTATTTAGGGACAGGCTAAGAGTTAGTGATGGAACAGGAAATAGCACCAAAGTTCCTTGATTCATTTGATCTGCCAGAAGAGCCCAGAGTGTGGGCAGTGACACCAGGGAACAAGCAGCAAACAGCTAGAGCAGGTAGGGAACAGAAGCCTGGGAAGAGGCATGGTCTGTGCAAACCATTACTGCAAAGCGATGTTCTTGCCTTTTTCAGATGCCTTAAAACAAAGCAAGAATATGATTTAGGGACCCAGTTTTTGCATGCCTGACCTGGAAAAGCTGAGATAGTAGAGAAAGAACTGTAAGAAATACTGTGTACATGATAGCATGGAGAAAATATTCTGTAGGAAATTTTAAAGGCAACAGCGACAAATATAAATGCTGAATGTACTGGCAAGTGAGTTTCAGCAACAGAGAGGTGAAGAGTTTTTACTTCAGGACGCCAATGCCAGTGACAATTTCTTCTTGCCAGCTAGGGTGTGTGAAGGTATGCATAACCCCTCAGGGTTTATGTGCTGGTGGCCTGGTCCCCAGTGCGGCAGTATTAAGAGATGGTGGAACCTTTAAGAGGCGGAGCCTAGTAGAAAATGGTTAAGTCTCTGGAGATTCTGCCTTGGGAAGAGATTAATATACTTGTCCTGGGAATGGGTTGTTATAAAGTAAGGCCACCCGAAACACTTGGACCCTTCTGCATGTGCCTGGTTCCCTGTTTGTTTCTCTGTCATACTGTGACACAGACAAGGGACCCTGAACAGGTAGGGCCACTTGATCTTGGACTTTTAGCCTCCAAAACTGTGAGCTAAACAAACCTTGCTCATTAATAAAGTATCCTGCCTCAACCATTTTGTTATAGCAACAGAAAACAGACTAATATACTATTAGCCAGAACCAAAAGTGGTAGTGGGAGGTATCCATGTTTGCCTCAGGTCAATAGAAGTCAGTAGACAAAAAGCAGTTTGCTAGGAGACCTAAGTGTGGGGCTTCCCCCTCCACCTGGCCCTATAGTGGAGATTCAACTCCTTACACTGGTATTTCCATGAGACCTGATAAGCAGGAAGGTTCCCTCACGTACATCGGATGAAAATACAGTGGAGGAAGGCTTGTCCTAGAGATTTGAACGAGGTGTAGTTGGAGGCACACCCAAGCTGAAAATCTTTCTCTCCAAATCTCTATTTATCTGGGCACATAATTATTGCAAAGCGGTATTCTTACCTTTTTCAGATGCATCAATGTGTAACGAGCTACCAAGTAGTTGCTCAATACAAAGCCCTTGCTAAATGACACGGTGGTGATTGTTGTGCAACACCAAAAGATTAGGGAGGCCCAGCTCCCCTCAACTCTCAAATATCTGGGGGTAGAGAATGCCAGTATAGGTTTCACCCAGAGGTCTTCCCTCTGATGCTATGGGGTTTGGGGCTTCTTCCCTTATTACCTGTTGGTTTGAAATCAGGTTAAAAAAGAAGAAACTATTTTATTCTAAGTAAATAACCAAGAAGGGAAGTCTGCTGGGGAAGAAGACTCTTCCAAAGTTGGTATGTGACAAAGGGCCTTCCTGACATAGTTTACTGAAGTGCAGGGGAAGTTCTATTTAGTGAGTGAAACCAACTGAAACCCACTGCTTTTTGTCAGCCTAATCTAAGAAAGCTCCAATCCTGGGCCCTTAACTTAAGACCAGGCAAATTGGGTACCAAATTACTAAAGAATGAAGGTCTTGGTTGACTTGCAATTTGAACTGTATATGACTGGTCACTGTTTTTTATATAGAATGGAAATAAAAGAGAATCTAAATTCTCTAGCAAAAGCAAGCTGGACCAATATTTATTGACTGGCTGATTAATACAACACAACCATTTAAGTAGGGCTACTCTGTAGGAAACAGTGAGAATGGATATTGGAGGTACATTACAATGCTGCTCCATCTTAAGTTATACAGTATGTATTATCAAAGTTGTAAGTTTTTCATGTAAAATGATGATAACCAAATGATCAAAGCAAGTATGTTTTGAGTAATTCTGAAATTTCTGAGACCTGACACCGGAAAAATATTTTGAAACCGCTATCTGGGTAAGGTTTCTATAGCTTGGCAATATTGACATTTTGGACTTAATTTTTTGTTGTGAGTGGCTGTTGTGTACGTTGTTAAGATGTTGCATGGGTGGTTCAGTGGTAGAATTCTCACCTGCCATTGTTAAGATGTTTGGCTATACTGCTGACCCTCTATTTAGCAGCGATGATACCCCTCCCCTAGTCATGATGATCAAAAATGTCTCCAGGAGGGGCTGGGGATTTAGCTCAGCGGCAAAAGCGCCTGCCTGGCAAGCGCAAAGTCGTGAGTTCGGTTCCCGGTACCGGAGAAAACAAAACAAAACAAAAAAAATGTCTCCAGGGGCTGGGGATATAGCTCAGGGGCAGAAGTGCCTGCCTGGCAAACGCAAGGTCCTGAGTTCAATTCCTGGTACCCACCGCCCCCCCCAAATGTCTACAAACATTGCCAGACAGCCCATAAGGGCAACATCACCTTAGTGGCTGAGAACCACTTGTCTAGAGATATTCTGCCTTTAAGATCACACAATAAATATACATATGCTAAAGTAAAAGTTACCAAATCAGGACAGTAAAGCTTCTCATATTGGTTATTACATGTCATTTAGAACATTTTAAAATGTATGCTAAAATGCTGACAGCAAAAGTATACTCACTGTGCACAAGAAAACAGAAGTCTTTCCACATCAGCAGCAGAGTGAGTTTTGTAAAGCCTTCTGCATCATATTCCACGACACCTCTAAGTAACAAAAACATATACACACAAACAGAAAAACCTCATAAAAATAAGACATAAGAAAGATGGAACCAGGTAAAGAATGTATTTGTGAGGTTGAGGTATTGAATCGCATGTGGATTTAAGGTAACTATGTATTACCACACGAAGGATGTGGGATTTGGAATGCAAACATGTAGGTTTAAGCCACAGCTTTATCATTTACTACCTGTTATGACATGAGGTAAACACTTAAGTTTTGGAGTCTCAGTTTCTTTATGTGTGGAACAAATATAATATTTGCACACTTCACTACAGAGTTGTGAAAAATAAAATAAAATGAACTATAAAATGTAAACATTATTAGTTATGAATAAAAGGACAAATTAAGAAGTCATGTTAGCAATGACATAATACCAAATATCATCATATTAACTGTACAACGATCATTAAACCTCACTTTCATATGCAGTAACAATAGCACTAAGTGCGGGGTTATATATTACTTTTCTTCCAAAGTACATGGAATCCTTTCACCTGTGTGTCCCACCCCCTCCCCACAGGGTTCAAGAAGGAGCAGCAACGTCAGACGGGTGTGCACTGAGTTCAGGTGGCAGAGACACACCTCCAGCAGAATTCTAGTGGGCCTGCCTCATTCATTTTCCCAAGAGCAGCATGCCTGAGAGATAATGCCATTGTAATGCGACAAAACTAACTAGACACTGAAGACAAGAAGCATCCTCTCCTACAAGGAGGCCTTTGATGTCTTGGGGGTTGCCTTCTCCCTGGCCAAATCTGGCCAATCAGACTGTTTATACTGATGAGGAAGGGACAGTTACAACCCTTGGAAAGGTAAAGGAGCTAGGAGCATGAGGGCTAAGTCAGGTGCTCAACGACAGTTAATACATCATTCAGATCTTCTGCTTTCAAGAGGATTGCAGGTTTGAGCCCAGCCTGAGCAACTTAGCGAGACCTTGTCTCAAAATATAAAAGGGCTGCCAATGTAGCTCTGTACCGAGGCCCTGGATTCAATCCCTGGAAGTGGAAAACAAATAAAAAACAGCAACAAGAAACTTCTGCCTTCATTCAACAATGCTGTGTACCAGTTTCTGTTTCTTTCTATGAATTTATAATTTACTCAGTGTTATAACACTGATAGCTAAATGTTTTAGGTAATGATAGTATCTAAACGATAGTATCTGCATCCCATAGCCTTTTATCATGCATACAGTATAGCAAAACAGTATAATTGGTAGTGATTATATACAAGTAGGTTATTGTACTATGTGCATAACATACACAAACATGTACATTAAAAAGAATGTTATTTAAAAGCAAATATATATATACAACTTTCATGTTTTTCTTGTACTCCACTGAAAGTGTGTAGGCCTTGGGGTGGTACACCCCACTTTGCAGGTCACTTTATTAGCTCCTCTACTTTAATTATATATACTAAAGATAATCTTATACAAATGTTAGAAGATTAATGTACCATTTATTAGTCACTATATCAAAATTACTTCTTCAAAATGTTCATAAGTAAAGCTGAAAAAACTTAAGTATTAAAGATTCATGTGGAAGTCTTATTGTTTGGATACTGCTATGTCTATACTGGATAATCCAAATAATGAGAAAAACTGCTTAATACTAGTTTTGAAGAATCAGAAATTTTGCTTATACCTATCCCACAATTTAAAAATAATATTCCAGAGAATCACCAGTCTTATCTTTGACTTCACTTTCTCTTTTCTAGTCCCAATTTTCCAATTTCTTTTATTTACTTATGTTAAAATTCACTTTTGTGTTCCTGTATATGCTCTTATTATTTATCAACCTTCTCTGAAATAAGGTGGGTCATGACCAGTCCACGGAAACCTTAGTGCTCAGTCCCACCCAGCGGGCAGAGCGCCAACCTTTTAAGACCAGAGAAAACACACAGCCTCTCCCACACAGCCACGCCCCAGTAGAAGCCTGATAAGGCCCGGATGGCACGAGAAAGGACACAGCCACTGAGCAGCACGGCCTCTGGCAGCCAGAGGAAAGGACACAAGCACAGGAGTGCAGCAGCAGGAGGGGCTGCTCTGCAGCTGCATTACGCATTTCCCTTTTTGCTCTCCACATCTTCTAACTCCCCAACAATGAGTCACTGCTTTTACATCTAATGTTAGGTTCTCTTCCCAAATTTGTGTGCCCTGTTGGTAGTGTTGTCTTGTCAGTTACTCCTCTTCTAGTGTGTGACTTCCAAAGTCCTAAGGCCGTCTGCGACAAAATGTGTCCCAAATGCCTGCCTGGGGTTACCTCTTGACTGCCGAGATGACGGAGGTGAAAGTGATGTGCAAATGCAAAAAGCTCAGTAGGTGGGGATTACTATCACTACTGCTGTGTCTGGGCCAGGCACGATGCTGCTACAGAGAAGACGCTTGATTTTATTGTCTGAAAAATTTCATCCTGGGAGCAATATACCAGAAACAATCAAAATGGCATTGAAAAGTGTATGAGTGCTATTTTCTTAATCAAGCCCCCACGTTAGGGTCATCAGCAAGTGGGGGATTGTGGATGAAACAAAGCAGAACTTACGTGCCAAAGTGACTGAGGAAAGCAGCGATATACTCTCTTCTTTTGTGATATCCTTGAATCACATACTGCACCTGGAATAGGAACCCAAAGCTGAGTGTACAAAAAGTTTTTAATGTTTTATTACGAAAAATTTCAAAGATTCAGAGAACTAGAAAGAATAGGAAAACAAATACCCATGCTCTCACCACCTATATTCAACAACTATGACTACTCTGGCTCCCTGCTTCATCCAGCCCTCTATAAATCTATAAACCTAACAATCAATCTTACTGAAACATTTGAAAGGAAATTAGAGACCTCATGATGGCTTCACCCTTAAATGCTTCAGTATGTAACTCCAAAATATAAGACCCTCCTACAGGATTGCAATGCCATTATCATACCCAACAAACTTAGCAATCATTTTCTCGATCACCTAGTACTCTATTCATTTTCAAAATTTCCCAGTTATCTGCAAAACATTTTAAAAAGCAATGTAGAATCAAGGATCAGGGACTTTAGTTGTTTTTATGCCCTTTAAATATTTTGAATCTAGGATAACAATAATGATAGCACATCCTTAAGTGTGAGTACATGTGTAAATATGTGTTCCCACACATGCATATGTGACATTGACTTTTCAGTGCAACTGATTTAGTTTTCGAGTCTCAACTATCTGATTGCTTCCACCTTTTTCCCTTTACCTTCTATATTGCCTATAAAGTGGAAATTAGAGCCAAAGGTCTGGTTAGATTTGGGTTAAATATTTTTAGCAAGAAGATTCCATCGGTGATACTGGGCTTTCTCACTTGGTTAAGGAGATTACAGCCAGACTGCTCCATTAGAAGGAGATGCTCCACCTTGCTATACTGAGTATATATCATACCTGTACCATCTTTCCCTCCCCACAGCCCCTAGTGAGTAATCTATGGGGTATTTCTCAAAGCATGTGAAGAGTTAATTCCCTATCAGGCATTCACCTACTCTGTTGAGACAGTCTTCTTTGAATCAACCGTTTATTTATTCATTTATTTTTTGGTTTTTTTCCAGTACCGGGAATTGAACTCACGACCTCTCGCTTGCCAGGCAGGTGCTGTGCCACTGAGCTAAATCCCCAACCCCTTGAATCAACTGTTTATTAGGGGCTGAAAAATCATGATTTTTTTTTTTAATCTTATCATTCTTTTTGCACTTATCAGCCGATACTCTCCATAAAAATTCACCAGGGATTTAGCTCAGTGGCACAGCACCTGCCTGGCAAGTGTGAGGTTCTAAGTTCGATTCCTGATACCCACTCCTTCCAAAATCAATAAAAATAAAAACAAAAAATCTTTCTCTCATCATGTGGTTTTTCCCTTTGTTTTCTTGAACTCCTATTGAAAAGACAGGATAATGCTTAAATCTTTCTTTTTAAAATCCTAACATTCAGAAAAAGAAGTAATATATTACAATAGATTTTATTTTTGCCCTTTATATTGCCTTATCACTGAATTGACAATTTCCATTTAAAAAATGTGAGCTCATTAAGCTATGCATCTGAAAGTTAGCCATTTACATACCAGCTTCTAACATGAAAACCCACTCTTCATAGTGTTCTTATAACAGCTGAAAGAAACAGCAAGAAAGAGAGACCCCCTCAAAACTGCTCATATTGGCTGTAGCTGCACTGCATTTCCACGGCTAACCAAAGCTCAAGATAAAATACTTGGAGTAACCTTGACACAACTGATACTGATGGCCACACTGCACGCTTTAAAAGTAAAACAATTCCATTTATGTAATAAGGGTTTATGTCAATTTATAAAAACAGTGCTTACTTTGCAGGCTCAATGCACGATCAGAAATGTTATTTTCGGAAAAGAAAAACAGATGATAAGTTTGCTTAAGTGGCTTTGTTTAAAAAGGGGATGAAAACAGTTCTGTGTACTTGGTTTTAAAAACAGAAAACCATTTTAACAGAAACCAACAACAAAACTGGCTATAAAGATAGATTCCAATGTAATTATGGAAATTCATTTGAAGAGATTGTTCCTAAAAGCAGCCCATACTGTCCTCGTTTGGAGCAAACAGAAGAACACCAATCTGAAAAGACAAGTAAAATTAATGAAAGAGAACCAGATAAGAAAAGCTGACTGATTCTTGTATTTCTGGGAAAATGATATTATAATTTTTTTGAGGAGAATGTATGGCTAGAAATTAATCTCAATTGGAGAGCTTGAAAAAGGCTTTTCTTTTCAGTTCTGGAAGACCCAATTTGCATTCTTCTCTATAATTCTAGGACACAGATTTGAAGGCAGTGCAAAGCCCTGGAATGTAAATAAGAATTCTGCCCTCTGACTGGTCTTGGAGGAGGATAGCGGCTGGGGGAATCTCATGAGAAGTCGCCACTTGTGAGCATTCAAGGCCCTGGAATCTAGGCCAGGCCCACAGACTGCAGAGTCGCCAGGTTTTAGGTTCTCTGACATTTGAAAAAATAATACAGAAGCCTTTGAGATATTACTGTGCTATTAAAATATTTTCTATATAAAAATGAGCTACCCTTTGAATGAGAGAGATAAACAAAAGATCCCTTTTCCAAGCCAATGTGAACAAGTCAACAGGAGCAAGGAAAATAGCACTTCGGCAATGAAATAAACTGAGCCACAGCCCATGTTGGACAGAATCGCTGCTTGTGCATTAATACCTCTAGATTTTGGCTAAAGACACTCAGTCGATGTTAACAAGCATATTTTATACTTTTTGGAAATATCTGACAACTACTACTATAGTAAAGTCAGCTACTTGTCAGTGTAATGGTTCATTAATACAGCAAAGAGAAAGCTTTAGATAACAATCTGATGGGCCGACCAGCTGACCTGGAATTCTTGCCCCTAGGAGCACAGCTCCGGCAAACTGCTTCCAGACAGGACAGGAAGAATTAGGAACTATTAAAAGCGTTGTACAGAAAGTAGAAAGAAATGAAGGTGGTTTTAAAGAATCACCCTGATACCAACCAGCAGCAAACACAAGGATAGATGGATGAACACACCAGATCAGTGGGAAATAAAAGGGGGCAAAACTTTAGAGCTGTAAAAGAAATGCAAGATGTAGCTGAAACACTGGGGAGGGGGTGAAGAAAGAGAAGACTTAAGTCGCCAGATATAAAGTTAAGAGATGAAGCTATGACTGGAATAGGAAATCAGAATCCTTAGAAAAGAAAGAAGAGGATAAATAGGGTGAAAACACAGATGCACTGCAGCTCGAAGTAGGAAAGGCAGATCGCAGGTGGAGGCCAAGGGTGGCTGGTGCATGCATGATGACCCCTGCCTCACGGGACAGGAGGGCCGGGGGACTCGCTCGCTTTTTACCTTGTTGGTGAGCAGGTGGCACACTTGAGGAACATAGTCAATGAGACAGCCTCCTCCTGGAAAAGCTGGGATATGAAGAGCTGAAGAGCCTCCTAGCGCACTGAAAGGACAAGAGCACAGTGAGCACTTCTCTCAGCCCAGGCAACTTAGAAAATGACACCTCCAACACACCCGGCCTTTCTCCTCACAGTCCGGCTGCCGCTGCCTTGGGCTGACAATGATGGGACTGTGGGGTTTACCTTATCATTGTATTTCTGTATTTTATTTTAAAAACATTAATACATATCTGTCATACATAAGTCTCATATTCATTGTAAGGAATTTGTACTTCTACATAATGTATCTTAATTCTTCTTTTTTCCCTATACCCCTCCCTTCCCTTCAACCCTCCTTCCCCTCCCTATTTACAAAAGCTTTGTTTCCACTTTTTTCCGTCTCTTTTTTGCCTTTTCCCTTCCCCTTCCCTCTCCTGTTTCCCCTCTCATTTGAACATGTTCTTCCCACTTCCCATCATCTATCCTGTATTATTCTTACTTATCCTCTGGGTTTCTCAACACTAGAGGAACATAGAGAAATATAGAAACGCATTTTCTGTATTTTAATCCATTCTGTTAATACTGTACATGCTATCCATCATTAAAAACAACTAAGGATCTTATCACCCAGAAGTACAAATTAGCAAAGTTTGACTAGCACAGAGAGATGGCTTACCAACAGTAATGAGCTGTATGTATTACTGAAACACTCCTTTAGTCTTCCTTACGATGTCTGATTCAGTGCAGACAAAGATAAGGTACTCATTAAGCACATGAACTGAACTAAAAGGAGCTGATGCAACCTTCTAACAATATACTCAAGAGACTAGTTCTATAGCTTCTCAGCTCTGTAATCTTGTATCTAAAAGGTAAACAAGAATGTAGTCTCACCAAGAAAGTATAGTCAGTAAAATGTTGATCCAAACACTAAGATACAAGGATGATTCAGAAATAGTTTTCACAACTTTCAGAAGTAAAATTTTTCAGTTTCAGTTAAGCAGCATATAACTATTAGAAAAAATGTCAAAACTTTACAGCATGCATTTCATTTATCAACCTTAATCTTTCCTTTTGCCCCAGTTTTTCTTATTTTAGTGTATATTTTTGTATAAATCCATTAAAAGCTCCCTGTAATATGATGAGATATTTTAAAAACCTCTAAAATTCCTCCACTCTATGATTATCCATTATCCAAGTCCCCACAATGACAAGGTTGTAAATAGGAGAAAAGTATGTTGATTGCCTAGAAACGCACTTCTGAAGAGGTGAGGCCAGGTTGGCTCAGTCTAGGGTTTGTGATGCAGAGAACATATCTAAGGACTAAAAGGACACCAGACATCCTATACTGACCACAGACTTCTAAAATTATTTTTCTGGTAAAGATAATTTTCCACTTGTTTAGGGGATTGAAAATTCCCAGCGATGGGAATTTAGCGCAACGGCACAGCGCCTGCCTGGCAAGTGCAAGGTCGTGAGTTCAATTCCTGGTACTGGAAAAAAAAAAAAACAAAAACAAAAAAAGTTCCCAGCAAACAAAAGCTCAGGTGATGTGAGGAAGTCTATGTGGAAAGGAAATGTCTGACAGAAACTTTTTTTTCTCAGTTGATACCTAAAGTACAACTCTGACAACTGAGAACATGACTAAGACCGCCTTTGACTCAGTGTGACAGTAGTGAATCATCTGCACTGGCCACGGCACAGAATCAGCAAGACCACTGCTGCCTTTTGCTAGGATGAGAGAAGATACTGGGTTTGATGTAGCTAAACTCTGAAGGTGAGGAAAATTTGCATGGCTTTCTGTGGGCCAGAGGCAGGCTTTCTGTCCTCCGCATGCAGGAAGTATACAGAAGACAAACATCTCATCAGAAGGTTCTCACAATTCCATCAGAATGGAAAACTGCTCAAGAAGATATAGACAAGAAAAATAAATCCATTTATAGCTCTTGTAGTGACTGTTTAAATATCTGTATAGTATGAACAAAGCCAGGCTTCAGGCTGCTCATACCTTTACTTTAGAGAAATAATCCTTGGCATTATAACACCCCCTGCCAACAGATGGGCTTTGACTTATATAAAACATAGACTAAGTTTTAATCATTTATCAAATCACATACAAAGAAGGAAAACAGTCTATGGGCAACTCTGAACTTTACTTCTGCTCCCCCCATTTCTTGACCTCTCTCTGTTTGAACTGTCAGTTGAAAACAGCCATGAAACGAAAATTATTATAATGAAAGAAAGAAGCAGAGGTGTGAAGAAATCCAAAGCCTAGCTGTAATATTTGCTCTGCCAGGCCATGTTTCTATACCCCGTGTTCCTAACTGCTTTATCATATTACCTAATTTTATTTATTTATTTATTTATTTATTTATTTAGGTTTTTTGGGTTTTTTTTTTTTTTCCGGTACCAGGAATTGAACTCACGACCTCGCGCTTGCCAGGCAGGTGCTGCGCTGCTGAGCTAAATCTCCAGCCCCCATATTACCTAATTTAATCCACCTCACATTTCAATGAGGTGGCAATTACTGTAATTTTACAGGTGAGGAAATCAAGGTTTGGAGAGAAGGGTAGATTGCCTGAGGTTTGCAGAATAAGTCAGGAGTAAAACCAAGATAGGACACAGGTCTGTCCGCCAGGCATCACAGTCTGTGCCCACCTTTTTTTTTTTTTTTTTTTTCCCTGAAACAGGCTGCCTCCCTAAGGGGAGGAGGATTTGGGGGTAGTGGACGGTGCTAGAGATTGAACCCAGGGCCTCTTGCGTGCTAGCCAAGTGCTCTACCATTGAGGTACTCTCCCAGTCCAAGGCTTCCAGTCTGCTAAGTCAAGATCCCAAGGAGGATAAAGGGCTCCTAGAGGCACTCAGGCCATGGCTGAAGCAGATGCCATGACGGTTCTTAAGTGTATCTCTTAGAACCAATGAGACACAAATGTAGCCAGAAGTGCTTTCCTGGTTACCTCTTCATCTAGTCTTTTAACCCCATTGCTGGAAAGGATTTTCAAACTCTGACCTGATCTTTCTCATTTATACCCATAGAATTGGTTTCAGTTCTAAGAATTATCAGCTGATTTCATATTTCATTGTAGTCCGTGAGGAAATAGAAGGTACTTTCTCATCTCACCTCCCTTTGCAACTCTCTGCATGGCAACCAGGCAGGCAGGCATTGATCTTCACGTTTTTCCTCTCTCAGTAGTGCCCCCCAAACCCGCCATCAGATTCTCTCTATCATGGATGTGATGAGCCAACCACTCCACACGGGCCTGTCTGCTTCTGAATGACTTTTCCAGCTGTGCATGGCGAGCCAGTGCATGAAGCTCTTCAGTACTATCAAACACGGTGTTAACTGAGTTTATTTTTTGAGAGATGCTTATTTCACCTTTTGTCTAACAATAGTTTCTTAGCCTGTAAGGGTATGCAACGAACATTCAGTGTCACACACAGATAAGCGCTGCTGATTCATGCATAAATATCCACCTCATGTGTAAATATTTAACAGGTTAGCTAGAGCCTGAATGTTGCCCTCATTATGCTGAATAAACAAAGTCAAGTGCCATGATATAAAAGGGCTATTATATGTTTAGAGGGTGGAAGGTATTGCTAAGGCCTTGTGATGTCTAATTATTTAATATTAATGAACCCAAAATTCTTGGACTGAGCATGTACAACAGAAAACCCACCCTGTGTGGAGATCTCAGAGCTTGCTCAGATACCTCCAGGAATGCAGGGCCGAGGAGGGAGAAGGGAAGAGGGAGAAGGCAGGACCTGACTAGCCCCTGTGGTAGCTGAGCTGGGGCAGGGGCGGGGTCAGGGGCAGGGGCAGGGGCAGCGGCAGCGGCAGAGGTGAGGAGGAGATGAAAGAAACCACTGGTGCTGCTGCTTCTGATCTCTAGAGCAAGGCAAGGAGAAAGCAGGGCCAAGAAGGTGAGGATAGTAATCAGGTGGCAGGTGAAACAGAGGGGAAAAGAAGCTGTTTTGATGAGAAAGTACCCTCTATTTCCTCATGGACTACAATGAAATATGAACTAGCTGATAATTCTTAGAAGTGAAACCAATTCTGTGGGTATAAATGAGAAAGATCAGGTTCGAGTCTGAAAATCCTTTTCATCAATGGGGTGAAAAAACTAGATGAAAAGGTAACCAGGAAAGTACTTCTAGCTCCGTTTGTATCTCCTTGGTTCTAAAGAGATAGACTTAAGAACCATCTGTGTTGACTGTATTAATATACTCCTTTCCAGCAGACAAACTTAGCGGAGCCCTTTGTGAAATCTCCTCTGTCTGCAAACACTGGGAGCCTCTAATATTGAAGACTTGACTTGGCTGCGGGGTGACAGCGTAAGGGGGTTATTTTTGAGTATTCACACATGGAAAAGGGTAGAGAGTGAGCCTACCTGAAAGCCTGACCAGAACAGTAGGTTTGATTTTGACCCATCACAAAACAGCAACTTCCCAAGTAAAATGAGGAAAATATAATTTAGACTGGAGAAATACAGAAGGACCAGGGATTCTCAATTGTAAGTTTGACCAGAAGATGAGTTGTTTCTACTCAACTTTTTCAACATTGCAGTGGGGATAACACTACTCTCAAAAAGAAAGACCCATCCCTCAAAACATTAAAAGGGTTAGAGTAACAAAGGGAGTTACAGTAATACTGTTATAGTACAAGAAGTCCAAGAGAAGCTTTCTTCCCTCTAGTCTGAGTGCTCCACATCCAAGGGTCACAAGCACAGGTCAGGTTTAGTGCTCTACTGCTGCCCTTGACTGGGTTCTAAGGGATAGGAAGCTGACCTAGTTCCCTCCTCCACAGTGTGATTCAGGGGAGTGTGGGAGGCTGATGCATGGAAATGGGAACCTCCAGGATGGTAAACAGAGCCAAGCTGTCTGGGGCCCCAGCGAAGGGACAGGGAAGCCTACAAGAAGGTGTACTGACTTCCATCCAAGCAACACACACCAACTGTATCTGTAACTCTACAGAAGGACTTGCGTGTCCCATTCTGAATATGTGACTAGGACACCACCGGTAAGTCCCTTCAAAATGAATGCCAGGGACCTCAAGAATCTGCGTCACTCT